AGTGGTACAGTTCTCCATCACAGACCACACAAGCCTTGCCCCTCGGACCCCGTGTCCTCTGGAGGCTCCACACGGTGCTTGGTGCTTCACACGCATGTGCTCCACACCCACATAGCAGACGGGGAAAGGGAGTGGATGTCACCTACCCAAACCCCGAGGCTGGCTCCCCAAGCCTGTACTCTTAACCGTATGTCACACACTGCCCCAAATGGCCCACACCCACATGCTGAGGGGGGCAAGGACTGGTCACTCACAAGACGGTCTCAGTGGCTGGGCTGACCACCGGGGTGGAGGCCGAATGGGGGCCATGGTGCCAGAGCCAAAGTATGCAGATCGGGCCGGAGGCTGTGTGGGAGAAGAGGTCCTAGTGAGGGGGCGGGGTCTACTGTGAGATTCAAACAAAACTCACTGCTGTCACGTTAATTCCAACTCATAACCACCCTGTACGTAGGGCTGGCAGGACTGGCCCTATGGGTTTCTGAGACTAACTCTACACCGGAGTAGGAAACCTCCTTTTTCTCCCACACAGCTGCTGGTGGTTTTGAACTGCCGACCTTTCCATGAGCAGCAGCCCAATACATAACCCACTGTGCCACCAAAGTTCTGGAAAGGGGACAAAAGGGTTCCCTGTAGACATGTCACCGTGGCAGAAAACCACAGTCTGCTCCAGGCCCCTGCTCAGTACCGACACTCAGGCCTGGATCCACAAAGCCATTCGCTGGGACCCATTCGGAGCGAGAGCTCAGAGTTCATCAGAGCCGGCCCCCAACCGGACACACCGTCCAAGGTGCCCCTCATCACCCCTACTCATGCCGGCTCAGGGCAGAGGGGCACGCACACGAGAGCAGCCTTCACAGTGGACGTCCTCCCTTCTGCCTCCACTCCTCAGTTCCAGGATCTTGTTCCCACACCAGGTTCCTCAGAACGTTAACGTCCAGGAGCTGGTATCATGAGGCATTCCCCCAAAAGTGACCACCGAGGCTGGGAAAGCACTGCCTAGGCTGTGCCTGTCTGGGAGTCATGACTCCAGGGTGGCTGATTTGAGTTGAGTCGGCGATCAAACAGGTCTGGCAGGAGAATCTATTTGTCCAGCAATCTGCCACGGGAGCCCCGGTGGAGGGTGGACGACGCACACCGACTGACGGGGCTGCAGTCAGAGCCGACGCCACAGCTCTTGGACGTTTGCTGAACGTGTTGTGGGGCACTGGTAGGATTCTGGCCAAGTGGGAGACCGGAGTTTGGTCCCCAGCCAAGGCAGCTCAAGCACAGCCACCACCACGTGTTGCCAGGAAGCTGAACCGGTTTGGGCAGAGCTTAGAGCCCGGGAAGAACACCTGGAGACCAGCGTGCATGAATCGGACAATGCACACTCTGGACCCCGCAGTCAGATGCTGCTGGGCTTGGGGTCACCGTGAATTTGTGGCAAACAGAACAGAGAACACGTTTGCACTTTTTGTTCAGCAGTACATTCTCAAGCTCGTGGGCTGATTGTTAGAAGATCTCTGGGCCTTCCTTCTGAGCCTGCTTTCATCTGGACGCGCTGTTGAAACCTGCTCAGCCTCAAAGCCACGCACC